AGCATGTGATCCATGCCACCAAACATGCTATACCAGCACCAGACAAGGTTGTTACAGGGAACCAACAAAATCATATATGTAATGCCTTTTCTTGAATTTCACATAATGTGGCTATCTTTTAAAAAGTAAATGGTTCAAGTTTCTAACCTAAGAAAATCAAGAGAACCAAGACCTTTTTTTTTGATCATTATGTTTTGTTCATTAAATGATGAAATAAGGTAAGAAGCCTTTACTGTCCCTAGAATATAAGAATCACTTAATTTAAAAACTGTAAAACAAAATTGTATATGTATACCTTATGTTATAGTCAAATGATAACCAATATGAATATAGTAATAACTTATCTTTATTCTAAAAACGTACATTGCAAGGGTAAGAAAAGTATTCAAGATATATTCTTTTTAAACAAACACTAAACTATAATCAACTTCTGACAGAAACTTACTGTTTGGCTAGAAATACTCAAGTACTGATGACTTTTACGAGACATATAGAGTGTATACCATATCACTTAGGAAATTTCTTTACGGAAAGAGTCTATAGCCTCACATTTTTGTTGAACTCGTGTGTGTGTGTGTGTGTGTGTGTGTGTGTGTGTGTGTACACACGTACATACTAGCTATATAAAGACATCTTTGTGAAGAAACATCTTTGTAATAGATTATCAAAGACTTTATTGAAAGCCGTTAAAAACAGTATCAAATAGGGAACATTGTCCCTATTAGTCCCAAAGCTTAAGAGAACACATTTTTGGATGATATTTCAGCATCTTTTAGAAGTTTCCTAAAACAGTAAAGATTATTAACTGTGGTCTGAAAAACCAAGTTCACAGGTTTAATCCTTAATAAAGGATTATAAGATCAATAATTTAAAAAAATTTTTTAAGTCTCATAATTTTTATAAATAACTAACAAAAATTATGTGATTCACAATTATTATTCTTATATGTCATAACTTTAGGAGACATGACATGATACTTAGAGATCACAGGACCATGGACTTAGAGCTAGGAGAAGAGAAAGAAAAGGAATAAGTATAAATGGCTCTGTGCCAGGCACAGTGATAAGCATTTTTTACACAAATCTCATTTGATCCTCATAATAACACTTCAAGATAGGTGTTCTTATGATCCCAATTTAACAGTACAGGAAACTGAGGCAAAGAGAGGTTGCCCAGCTAGCAGAAACCTTAGTCCAATTCCTCTCTCCCCCCCATTTTACAAATGAGGAAATAACAGCATCTACCTCCCAGGATTGTTGTGTGAATCAAATGAGACATTTGTAAAGTGCTTAGCACAGCTCCTGACACATAATAAGCACTATATAATTATAATAATAATTATTTTTTTTTGTGGTAGCTAGCGGTAACGAAGACACAGTGCAGAGGCAGACCTCAGAGTAAGGATGACCCTGGGGTTCAAGTCCTATTTCTGACACTTCCTAGTTTTATAACCCTGGATAAGTCACATAAAGTATCCAGTATCTCTCTAAATTATGTAACAGTTGCACTACTGCATTCTCACAAAGAGTTTCCCTAACTACCAAAAGTGAAGCCTACCTTCAGTTCTACTCACCTCCCAACCCCAATCTGATTTATTCCCATGCTCATGTGCGCACACATACTACAAACAAACTCAACTCACTACTAAAAACACTGCTTTCACACATTTTTTAAAACCCTAACAAATGCCTTATAAATGTGCCTTCTAAACCAATTTCAACTATAATTACCACACATAAAGTTAGAAAGTACCTTAACCTTAAAGTACTATGTATGCAGGAGATATTAGTATTATTGAAATCTAAATAAACACCTGACAAGTAAAGCACTCCTCTAATAATTCAGATTATGATCTTGTAAATTAGATAGTCATTTGTCCTTTCAAACATAAAATTTCAAAGTAATTTACATATCTGGTGGTATGATACCACCTGCTAGCTCTTAAAAAAAAAAGCTTGAGATTTCTACATGTCTCTGGATCAAAGAATAACTGATTATTTTTTATTGACTAGAAAATGACTAATTTAGTTTTTAACTGAATTCAGTTTCAACCAGTAGTTTTTTTACCTGTAGAGAATAACATGGGTCTTACATTAAATAACAAGACTTAATAACGTTAGTACAGTTTCTCATGTAATTGTTTTCACTTCATATACCCACTTTAAACCTATCAAGTTGTTTAATAGCCAGTTATTACCGAGAGTGAGTCAGGTAGTTTAACTGAAAGAATGCTAGGCATAGTCAATGGAGACGCTAGCTTCTAATCTCAACTCTCATCCACATGGCTTTATGAGTATGAGAGAGCTTTAGCTCAACTGCCTCTGATTCTCTGTAAAATAGAGACAACAGTATCTATCTGTGAGACTCAAACAACATAACACGTGCAAATTGCTTTGCAAACCTTAAAATGTTACATTAATAGCCCTAGGAGAATGTTAAGCTGAGACCATCATGTGGACGTAGTTTGGAACTAAAATATTTATTATATGTATTAAATGCTCCTGGTGAGTATATTTTCAGGATCAGTGATTTTCTAGGCATAAATAAGCTAAAGGTAAAGAGTTATTTCAACGGGCATCAAGAAGTAGTGATGGAGCACTGGACTTGGGAGTCAGGAAGACCCTAATCTTGACTCAGAAAGCCAGCTATGTGACCTAAAGCAATTCACTTAACCAAATGTGGCCTCAGTTTACTCTTCTGACCTCTCAGATCTTTCCTAACTCTAAATTTATGATCCTATAAAGTTACTTCCAAGATCTTAAATGGATACAGAAACTTCCTTTTCAAGAAAGGTTAAGACAGTGTCTTTAGCAGACAGTGAGTAGCAAGAACTCATTAAATGTCTGCAGACATTTATGATGGCAGTAAGAATATAAAGGTGCTTTCCAATTCCAAATTTGGGTTTTCCTGGATAGCATGTGTGAAACTTTTTTAGTTTCTTGTTTCCTTATGAAAAAATTCCAAAATAAAAATATATTGTGTTCCAAGCACCTAGTATAGTACAAAGTAGGAAGGAAGGAAATAAACATTTATTAAGGGCATATTATGTGCCAAGCACTTTACAAATATTATCTCATTTGATCCTTACCCTAGCAGGTAGGTGCTATCTTTACCCCCATTTTGCTGTTGAGAAATTGAGGCAAACAGAGGTTAAGTGACTTGCTCAGTTAAGTGTCTAATGCCCTATCTGAATTCAGACCTTCCTGACTCCAGGACCAGTGTTTATCCACCATAACACTTAGCTTCCTTTAGTAGATACTTAATAAATACTTAATTAATTTAACTGAAGCCAAGGCATGAGACCTGTCTTTTGGAAGAATGTTTTTTAAATGGCTAAAACTTTTAATTTTAAATTTGATAAGCTCAACATAAAATAATCACTTTCCTGGGCAAAACTTTGGATAAAAATTAATTCCAATGCCAATGATGCTTTACTATGGAAAATCCTTTGCCCTTAAACAGATCCATCCTTTTTTAAACCAGTATTTTAAATCATTAACACTTGAAGTTTCTCTGTTACAAATTTAGTATTTCTTTGAAACTACCCACAAATAATATTTTTCTCAAGTACACATGAAGCAAAATTTACCTCTGACACCTATGGTTAGTATCAGTAAAAAAAACTAATCTTTTAACAGTTTTATGGCCCAGATTAATTTACTTTTATCTAATGCTGCCAAAATGTGTTGAAAAAAGATAAGACAGCTTTGATTTCCCATTGTCATACAATTGGGTATAGAAGTCCAGTTCCAAGACTCCTAGTATCAAACGTACTTTTTGAGACACAATGAAAACAATCATGTAAAACAGCTTAACTGGGTATACCAAATAATCGTATATTCTTACATATTTTTGACTATGCTAGATATTTTAATAATTAAACTTTTTTGTATGACTGAGAAACTAAACTGAAACTAAATTTGACCATTAGTAGTGTTATTTGCCTTTTGTGACATATTTGTAGTAGTAGCAATTTATTAAGTAAATAAGCATTTATTAATTGTCTATTATGTGCCAGATACTGTGCTAAGCAATGGAGACACAAAGAAAAGAAAAATTTTTTAAAGAATCAATTCCTATTCTCAGGGAGCAGTCTAATGAGGGAGTTAACATGCAAACAACGTCGAAACAAAATACACATGGGACAAATTGAAGATAATTTCAGAAGGAAATTACTAAGATTAAGGAGAATTGGGAGAGGGTTTTTGTAGAAGATGGGACTTTAGCTGAAACTAGAATGAAACTAGAGAAGTGAAGAGGCAGAGAGAGTTCTAGGCATGGGGGACAGTCAGTGAAAATGCCTGTAGTCAGGAAATGCGTTAGAGAAACAGGAAAGCATGCAATGAGTTCGATGAGCTATCCAACCTCTCAACTTGGCTCTCCTGGTAACCAATTAGCCCAACAATGGCAAGTTATTAATTAGCAAGGGTTAAGAATATTATTTTCCTCTCTGTAAAACTTAAATGGCCACGCAGGCATCAAATCCATTACCTGAGACTAATTAACACTGAATAAAATGAACTAAGGAACTCAAGCAAGTCTAATTTGAATGGAAAACCAGATTAACTATTTCCAAAGGATATGTTAAATGTTAAAAGCAATACCTAGGCAAAATGGCTTAATATCAGCTTTCCAATTTTTAAATGGTAAATGTCTCATCTTATTAAATATAGTTATAGCTTATACTAGTTTTATATATATATATACACACATACATAAATGTTTACATACTTCAACTTAGGATAGATGCTCTATTACTAGTACTTTGGAGGTACAAGGAAATGTTCACACCAGACACTAGAATCTCACCCAACCAGTTCCAGCTGTTAATAAAAATCTGAGAACAAGCTTTTAAAACATCAGTCTGATGTTACTGTTTGACATGTAGTCTATTCCCATTAAAACTTGGACTATATGAGAAAAGTCATACCCAAAGGAGCATTTTTAAATGTTACACACATCTTTTCAAAAAGAATAAAACAAGCCAAAACATGTCTTACCATGATCTTGCTTACCCATTGCACTTAGATAATGATTGAAGGCTTGACAAGGAGGGCTTGGAGTTTGTGTAGATTTGTCACAACTCATAGGTGCTGGACTCCTGTCTGTGTCAAAAGAGAAATACCCACTGGAAGATCGAGGCAGCAGTGGGGATCTTCTTACAAAGATGAAAAATGGGGATCTGGTAGCAAACGGACTAGGGCTAGTGGGTGGTGCAAACGGTCCCTGAGGGCTGCTGGGTGAGCAGCTGTCCCCTTCACCTGAATTACCTTGATACTGTGTTTGTATAGAGGTAGGGGCCCCTGGTCTGAGTTGTTGAGGCTGAGTAGGCCTTTCTGTAGGCTGTAATTGTCCACCTTCTCTGTGGCACTCAGAATTTAGATCTGACGGTTGCTTTGCCATTTGGTCTTTTTTTCTGTAAGAAAAAAGGTACGGTTAAGATTATATTTCATAATGATACCTATTACCTTAATTTTCACTTGTATTACATAAAGATTCCATAAATTAATCCAGCATGAGTGGATTTTGATTCTTCTTACCCCACTGCTTTCCTAAACTGCTTCTCATCTTCCAAGTAAAAATACTTGAGACTACCAGTTCTACGTGTAATTTTTATGGTTAAGCTTCCTCCCTTTAAATAGAGTGCTAAAAGTTACTTAAAACTTAAGTTTAAAACACTAACAGCCCAAGTCATGAACAAAGCAGTTATATTTTCAAATCCATCCCCATATATCAAATACTAAGAATGGGTTTGGCTAATTAAAAGGAAAAAAACACCCAACAGTAGGTTCTAATTTCCCAAGGATCAGATACTGTGTTGAAACGTAGGAGTGAAGAGTAGATGCAGTGATTGTGCAGCTTCTGGCCAAGTTCCCTGTTCTAGCCCCATTGTTCTACCGAATATGCTGATCACAGCAAGTCTGGGGAAGGTTTGGCAGCAGCCATCAGTTGTAGTAAATGCGTCACAACAGTTTGTCCACAGCAAAGTGCCTCTTCAGTTCCCTCTACTACCAACTCCACCCCCTATTCCCCCCCCTTCTTTTTCCTCTTCTAACTTAATGCTAACTCAACAAGTCTTCAACTCCTACTGCAAGAAAGCCAGCCTCTCCTGCACAGGCTGACGAAAAACTCACTTTCTTTTAAAGCACCCACTTCCTTCAAATGTTAGGCGCACACACATACATACACAAAGGGAAAAAAAACATACAATAAAACCCCAAAACAATCAACCTCGGGGAAGCTTTCTCTTTGGGCATGCTCCCTGCAGTGCATAAGACCCAGTTCCACACACCACCTTCAACTGCAACCTAGGAGGCAGCTTAACCAACCTCACCTTGGGAGCACAAACAGGCAAAATAATAATTACAATACCTGTCTGTATTTAGCAGAAATTCTATAAGGGAAAATTGGGGAGAAAGGAAAAGGTCCTCCCCACACGCACACCACCCTCCTCCCGGCACCTCTGCTCTACGGGATGTCCCCCGGGAATGCGCGCGACCAGTCCTGGTCTCTGCCCCCAGAACTTAGTGTCCCCAACAGAGGGGAGCAAGGGGGAGAAACAAAAGCCTCGGAACTTACGCTCAGGGCTCTCGATTCATCCCCAGAGAAACAAAACAAGTTCCCAACTTGACACTCTCACACGCCGGTGCCCAGGGCCCGCACTGGGAGCCCGGCTCGAAGCCTCCGCCTCCTCAGCAGCCGCCGCCGCCGCCGCCGCCGTCTCCTCCTCCTCCTCCCGCCGCCGCCGCCGCCGCCAGGGAACATCCTCCGCCTCCGCCTCCTCCCCCCACGCACTCTACAGCCAGACTGTAGAGAACCGCTGACCTCCCCCTGGCCGCCGGGCTCGCGGCGCCCGCTCTCCCCATTGGCCGAAGCGCGATCGCTCGGTCGACCCTCAGCCAATCCGAAGCGGGCAAGGGCGGCCCCTCGGCGGTCAGCCTGCCAGGAGGCAAGGCGATTGTTGACAAACTTGCCTTCCGAGTGGCACTTCGGCCGGAGAGCGTCGGCGGCAGCGGAGACTGCAGCGAAGCGCTCGCGCGCGCCCTCCCTCTCGGCTCGGCTCCCTCCCCCCAGCCACCGTCGCCACACAGACAAACACCCGAAGCCTCCTCGGGTCACGTGCGGCTCGGGGCTGCGGCGCAGCGCTCAGAATCCTAGGCTCGCGCCCCTCGTGCTTTACCAACTGCTGCGGGGGGAAAAAGGGGGATCTTGAGCTGGAGGGAGGGCAATGGTCTCGTCCAGGCCTGTGTCAGCAGCAGACAAAGAGGGAACCGCGCCGACTCCAGAGTGCACGACCCTCGGCCAACAACATAAACCACACCCCGAAAACCTGAATAGCTCCCTGGCATCCAGCCACCAGCCTTCAAACTAACCACCCCCACCTCCGACACACACACACACACACACACACACACACACACACTCGCGCTCTGTCTCTCTCTCTCTCTCTCTCTCTCTCTCTCTCTCTCTCTCTCTCTCTCTCTCTCTCTCTCTCTCTCTCCCCCCCCACTCCTTCCCTCCCTCCCCACAGGAAAATCCTGCACAGCCCCCCAGCTCCTCACCTCCAACCGCAGCAGGCTTGAAATCAACAAGCCCCACGACTCCCCCTCCCCCAGCCTCTGCGAGCAGTCCGCACCAGCTCCTCCCGCCCCCGGAACAAAACAGGCCGACAGCTCCGTCACCCGACAGACAGACAGATAGACAGAAGCCCAAACACCTGGCGGACTTCCCCGCCACGGCCACCACACTTCGACTCCCACATTAAGCCATCTTCGTCCCCGACCAACATACCCAGCTATTGTAGGGGCCACAGTCAAAAGCGCGGATCTCCCTCAATTTCTCCAAACCACTCCCTGGCCCCGAACTGAGAGACACCAAGTCCAAGGTGAGAATCACAAGCGACAGGTAGTGGAAAAGGACTAGGGCACCTCACGTGGTAGGCGCCAGCACATGCATTCACATAGGAGGGACACACACACACACTGAGGTCGAAACTGGGGGTGGAAGAACCCCAACCTGAAGCTGGGGTGCTAACAATCGGGAGCACAATCGGCCGCCTCCAACCAAGTTCCAGCACAAAGGGTCCGTTCCCGGTTTCTCGTTAATCCCACTCTACGCGTCTCCCGGTAGCGCAAGTCCGCGCCTCCCCGGACACTTTAAAGAGCCAGGTTGGTGTCTGCTGCTCCAGCTAGCCCGGCTTCCCGCGTCCTCTAGACACATAGCGTGGCTGGGCGGGAACTCCCCCGTTCAGTCCCCCGCGCTGCCACCCTGGGCGGAAGGACTCGCTCACCGTCTGACCATCCTGAGACCCCGGTCCAAGCAACACAGACCAAAAAAAAAGTGTGAGCGCCCACCCCGTAGCAAGAGGCAGGGTTGCGCTCCCAGTCCACCGAGCCCTTTAAAAATAAGTGTCCAGTACATTCCCAACACCAGTCCCGCAAAGGATCGCGCTGCCCAGCACCTTCTTGAGCAGGCAGCGGCGCGACCGAAGAAAAAATGGGGAGGATTCTTGCAAGACCTCGGAGCCTGGGGCCCGGAATATCTGCAGGGCAGGAAAGACTGAAGCGGCGATTGTGGAGTGCAGCCTGCCTGGACTGAGCAAGGGTTATCGCTGGCATCTCTCCTTAAACCTCGGCCTAAGAGCAACAGTGCTGTCACTAACGTCACTTCAGTGCCACTGCACAGTTCCTCAAACCCCCCGGAGCGTTGCCTACACACAGCCGGAGCAGAAAACCCTAAGCCACAAGGTCAACTACCTAGATCCTAGACCAAAGCCCCCACCGGGCCCAGCACCAAAAGACTCCCTCCAAGAAAGAAGATGGGCCTCTCCACCCCCCTGCTCCCGGAAAAGTGCCCAGTCTGACAACCTCCCCCCACCCACTTCTTTATCTCTCTGCATCTCCTCAAAGAAATATAGAGCCAACGCAGAGCCAATATAGAGGCTCTCGGACCCGGCCAGACTCGTCTCCACCACAACTCTACTCCCCCTCAGGATGCACGTATTTTAGGAGCCCAAATCCCTCAACTTTGGTAAACTTCGCCAGCAATCCAAGGGCGCAGACGAACCTCCTCCTCTCGCTGAGCACCACCTCTACCCCCACCCCCAGTTCCGGGACAGCAATGATTCTCCCTGGCACGTGGGCGCCAGCGCGGGAAGGCCGAAGGGCTGGAGAGCCACAGCAACTTAGGCGCATTAGGGTCTGTGTTCCCCGGGGACATAGAGCGCGCTCGCCCGCCCTCCTTTACCCACCAGAGAGCTAGACACTAGGAGTCCTTCTAGGCTCTAGTCTCCTGGTCCCCTTCTGTTTTCACTTGGGTGGGGGTATTCTGAGCTTACCTTGCGCTTCTCAGTCCGAGAGTCAGAGTCAGACATTGGGGGCGAGCGGGCCGGGGAAAGGAGGGAGGTGGAGGGCGATCAGATGGATGGTGGTCGCTCTGGTTGAGAGCTCTGTGAAGCGGCGGCGATGGCAATGGCTGAGGTTGCACGGCACCGGTGGCGGCGGCGGCGGCGGCTGCGGCTGCGATGCTGCGGCTACGGCTACGGCTACGGCGGCTGCTGCGGCAGTGGCGGCACAGAGGCTGCTGAGCTGCTGGGAACCGTCAGCTCCAAAGAGAGCAGGACACCAAACAGCAGCGAGCTATGAAGTGAAACCTGCGCAACGCTGCAGCTGCGCCCAGGCTGGGCGCCCCAGAACTAGCCATCCAATCACCGCGGGGTCCGCCCCCTGGCAGCCCCGCCCCCGATGGCTGACCTCGCCTACTTCGAACCCGGAGCAGGCAAGTCCCGACAGGTAAAGGCGGGGGTGGGGGCAGGGTGAGCCCCACCCGGTCCCGTCCCCTCTGGCCGCCCCTCCCCCTAGCACAGACTCTTTCCATTCCTGTAGCTGAAGCGGCTAAATCGAGGTCCAGTTCCCAGCGGGCGGAGCAAGCCCGGTCACGGGTTCTCTGTGTTTACTAGAGTGATTCTGAGTGCTCCCGCGGAGATGCTTCCCCCTCCTCACAAAACCTACTTCTTCCTTTCTAGCAAACCGGCGCGGGGAGCCGCTAGGGGAGGGGACAGGGGGCGCTCTAGGACTGAGTCACGTTCTGCCCGCAGTCGGGCAGCTGGAGAGGGCATTGGCTCCCGAGGCCTCAGACGTCTCTTGGCCCGCGCGCTTTTCTGGATTTCTTAGCACTTTCTCCTTGACGTTCTAGGCAAATCGTCTTACACCTAGTCTCTGGACACGCCTGCCCTGCAGAGAACTCTGAGTCTCAGAAGTGAGGGGAGGGAGAGAGGTATAAGTTACCACTCCAGGGTGGTTGGGATCCGGGCTGGGGAGCTCGGTAAAGAAGACTGCCCATTTTTTATCGGACACTTTGTGTCACCGACGCAAAACAATACGTGTCTCCTAGGATTCCCAGACGACCTCAAGGTTTCCTCCTAAACTATGCCATTCTCAGAACTTGAACGCCATTAAATTAGGAGTTAAGAACAAGAGGCAAAAAGTAGAGGCAAGGAAGACGGAGGTAGACTCCAGATTGCGGGTTACAAAACCTGAATGAGGCACAGGTTGATGAGGAAAATTGAATAGGATGAAGGGGAAATATGAAAAGAAACAAAGTTCACAACTGAAATCTCCAAAGAAAGCTTTGGACGTATCAAGAAAAGAAATTGCTGCCTTTCCCTGTGCTGTGCCTCTGGACTGAGAAGGACCGGCTTCTCACTGAAGATCACAATTTAAAGGCTTAAATTTGGAGAGCTCTCCAGCTTTCAGATTTACTGCTTTGTGTTTGCCGGACTCACGCAGAGTGGGTTGAGTGATCGCGGCCCTTTTTGGGCAAAGGCATGTAGTATAGTGTGTGTCAGTGTTTTGTCTTCGGCCGTAGGAGTTGTTGGGATTTGTTTTGAGGACAGAGAAAAGGAAGACAGTTTATTATTTATTTGGGCTGAGGCAGCATAGAGAGCATTTTGACCAGTACTGTAGGACCCCTCCTCCTCCTCTTCTCCCTCCCAACCCCAACCGCCCGCCCAGATTACCCAGGATGAGATCATCTGACTTGAGGCTGCGCTTCCACCACCTGTTCTACCCGCGCGATTCAAGCCACGTCTCCCTCCCTCCCTCAGCTTGCGTCTTAACAAAGGGCATCAAGATAAGGGAGGGATAACGGAAAAAGCAAAGACTCATTACCTAACCAAGCGGGGGGGGGGGGAGGTGGAAGAAGAAGGGACTAGGGAGAGAGAGAAGGAAGGGGACGGCGGTGAGAATGATACTGCTAATAACTCAAGGTGAGAAGATATCTTCCAAAATCTAAGAAAGGTGTAAGAAACGTACATGGGGAAGAATTGGGAAATTACTTTCCGGGTTTCAAAGTCCAATTTAAAAAATATATATTTTTTTACTATGGAGACTATAACGTCATCATGACACAGTAAAATAAAAGTATACACTATAGCAAATGTGGCAAAAATTAAAATGTAAAGGAGAGGAAAGATGCCAGACGAAAATGAGATTGAATGAGGGGAACTTTTGAAGGATTTCGCTACTGTAGGAAAGAGTAGTAAATGAGTTCAGAGGCAAAGGCAAAACATTCATTTCAAAGACTCATCGCTCCCACACATCTCTGACAAAGCTACTGGAGCTACAACACAGGAGCTACAAATGCTCCTGCCCACAGACTAACAGTGATTTGGAAGAGCGTCCAGGGATAAGACTGAATGAATGGATATGCCTTATCACTGCAATGAAATCTCCGCAAGCATTCCCCAAAAGCGGAAAAAAAGCTAATTGGGCAATTCTCTGTTCCAGACCCGGGGTGGGGGGGAGGAGGGAGGGGGAGAGAGACAGACAGAGAATCGAAAGGAGGGAAGAGAGAAGACAGATGGAGACAAGAAGGGGGGAAAGAAGAAAAAAAGAAAATGAACAAAATAGGGGGAAAGAGGAAAAAAAGTTTGAATCTAGTTATAAAAACCAAAAATCTTTAAGCTAGCCTTTGTAGCTAGCAAACTATTTTATTGTGCAAGGAAATCTTTCCTCTATTTAAGGAGATGGTTACATGGAAAATAAGGCGGGGTGAGGTAGAGAAAAAGGCAAACCTCCAAAAAAAAGGCAATACTGGGGTTTCTGTACTCTCCATTTAGAAGGGGAGTATGTAAAACCGCTCCATTTGCACAGTGGTTAGGTTGCAAAGAAAAACATCACGCATTTCATTAGAAGTGGGTGTCAGAAAACCGGAAAGCTCTCTGCACAGAGGAATTGTCTGAGAAATAAACCAGGTGCACCCGGGGGGCAGGCAGCTTATCGATGAAAGACAGTGAATAGTGACAAAGAAATGGGGGTGGGGAAGAGAAAAGAGAAGGATTTCACAAAAATACAAATAATGCTTTTTACAATGAAATATCCTTGCTCACCCTGCTCCCCCAAATCCCACTGTTCAAACAATCATTTGTACTTTAAAAATCTGAGGTAATTCGAACGCGTATTCCACGCTGATTTGGATGTAATCAAAGAAAGATCTACAACTTTGGTAACACCGCATATTACTGTTACTGTTGCAGTGATGGTTTCGGGCATAACTGCAGTAACTTCTGTAGAACTACTAATCCAGAGACAAAGCTTTTTCCTGTGTGTCCCCTCCGAGATGACGACAAAGCCCGCAGTCCCGTCCTTTCTTCCATCCCTGCCTCCTTTATGTTTGCTGGAATTCCAGGGTTTACTCACTAGCCCAGTTGGACTGTAATTTCTGACTGTGAAGGTTTATTCCCTGGAAACTTTTTGTTTGGGGTGGGGGGCGCTTCGGATGGGAAAAATCAAAGAAAAGCACTGGTTTCTTTTTTTCTTGACCCTGGAACCTGGAAGGTCACTCAAAATGATTTTGCTCAGACAAGCTCTTTCTGCTCCCGTTTTGTTTGGTTGGTTTGGTTGCAGAGGACATGGTAGCACATGGCAGTAAGCTAGAAGGTGATATTTTGTCCGTGGATCAAACAATCACAATCCTCGTGCTAGGATTTGTGAATGCAAATGTTCTTGTGTTTCAGGATCTCAACGATAATCTTGTTGGAATAAATCACCATAAACTTGGATCTCTATTCTCTACTTTGACTTCTAAAGAGACAAAGAACACGGTTCCCTTTGTTTTTATTTCTTTATTAAACTTTCTACATATTTTTCTACTCGACAGATTAAAAACGTTATATGGTAAAAATGATTTAAAATGTATTTCTAAATACCGCCCCCCATAAGCTCTCATCCTTTTCAGAAGTTGTTTGCACTGGTTGGTAAATAGTTATGAGGACCGGTCTGGTTTTTCTCGGACTCCTCCAGAGCATTTGCTTTGAAATCTTCTCTGAGTAAAATTCCAAAAGGTATTATCAGTCTGTCATCTCTGGGGCATTTCCTTTAAGAAGCTAAGTGGGTCTGACTCACTGAAACAGCTAACTGCCTAGACTAGCTGGGGCACGGGCAAGGAAGGGAGGGGAGTCCGGTGGGTTTGTTTACATTTTATCAGCTTTCCCGGAATCCCTCAGAATCTGACTTACTCTTTCCAGGGGGAGTTCCATCCATAAGGATAGAATCTCTTTGGATTTAAACCTGTAGAAGCCAAGACAGGACAGCTCATTCCCTGGCTTTGGACAATCCCTAGGCAGTCAATGAGACGGAGCTTGGTGTCACAATACTGAGCTCTCTGGCAGATACAAGACTGGAAGTCCTTTCCCGTGCAGCACTTTCCACCCCTACCCCTACCCCACCCTAACTCACTCCTCTCACTCCCTTGAGACTCCTGTCCAGACTCATCAGCAGTTAGGCTTGTGCTTCTAGCCTGCGCTGGCCTCCCCGATCCCGTTGATAGACAACTATGGTCAAAGTGGCCACATGCTTTCATTGCCTGGCCCCAGTTTGTGCCCTTTCTTTTTCAGCAGGGGGCCAAGTGATCAAGCGAGGACCTAAATGGGATTGTTTTCCTGGCACACATCTAGGGTGAGCTTCCTGATTCTGTGAAATGAACCACCGTGGAGACTGCAAACACAACACCGAAAACAACACGTTTATAGCTTGGCCCCAAATTTGAGTCGCTGGTGGCCCACTCCTTCCCCCGACGACTTCGGCTGCTCTTGAGGCTGGGGTGGAGGGTAAAACGCCCAGGCTGCTCGTGGATTGGGAATGCCAGCGATCGGTGCGTGGATGGAGCTGTGAGGGATGTTAAAAGCTGAAATCACCTTCAGTGCATCCTCCTTCACCGAATCACATAAATTCAGCAACTGCAAGACAAGACACAGTGAGGGGTCAAGCTTTCTCCGCTTCTTCGATGTGGGTGCAGGGTATTCTTCCTGCCATTCATCCTACTCACCTCAAAGCTCACTCTGTCTCTGTCTCTCCCTGTGTGTCTTTGTCTGTGTCTATTTCTGTCTCTCTCATATCTCCTTTCTCTCTCCTTTGTCCTCTTTCCCTCCTCCCTACTCCTCTCTTCCAGGCTTTGCCAGTGAACACACCTGGGATGCCTGTATTGCTTATTTAACACCTTACCTTCCGCAGAGTTTGCCCCAAGTCAGGTCCTAGGATCACGAAAAAGGGCTGAATGTATCCCCTCTCCCTTCCTAGAAACTGCACCCTAAATCCAGGAACTACTCCAAGCTTCCCCAGATTCACTTTAGGTATCACACCTCCAGTGTCACCCCTTCTACCCCAAGTTGAAAAAAAAAGATCCTGGAGGAATCAACAAAACCCTAGATCACCTGCCCAGAGCCCTTCCATAAAGAATGTCCCCTGACTTATGGAATTAGCTACTGTGGTTTGCTGCAGCTTCCAAAGTTTTGTAATGCCAACATACTACTACACCTTTCTATCAGATCAGAAATACCTCGGAAAGTTGGAAATGTAGAAGAAAGACAAACCACACCCTAGCTTCCTGCTGGCACATCCCAGCACACAATCTACAAGCTGCTGCTGATAATTTTCTTTGGAGGTAAGGCAATGGACCACGTGTAGACACAGACACAGACAGACAGACAGACAGACAGACAGACAGACAGACACACACACACACACACACACACACACACACACACACAGGAAAGTTAAGGCTATTGATGTTTTCTCAGTGGAGACCTGTACAACCAATGGTGGCATCTGTTTTTCTACACCTTAGCAAAAAAGGGACAAAAGAACTTCCTGCCTTTCCCAATCTTCACTCCCATTTCTCAAAGCTTCTCCAGTTCCTTTTCCTTAACTCCACTTATTAAAGAAAATCTTGAGAAAGCCTCATGCTTTTTTTTTTGTCCACAGCTTTAAAAATCATGATTTATACAAATGAAAGCCTTACACTCTCGTGTGGTAGGAGTCTTAAAACTTGAACTGATGATGTGAAGACCACAGTTTCCTTTAAAACACGAACAGCCAGAACACCTTTTCTGATTTGCTCAAGCAAAAAGAGGATGCATGCAAAGAATGGATGAAGGGGGTGGGGGTGGGGAAGCCATTTCGATACATGCTGGTAAAAAAGAATCTCTCAAGAGAGTTTATCTTTCTTCCAAATTTGCTATTTCAGATGTGTATTTTCAATGAACACTAAATAGTGCAGCTTGTGGTAAAGAATCAGATCAGTACTGAAATCCTTTTGATCATTTTGGGGATATGTTCAAAGTTCAACTTTCTGTGAATCACTTTCATTTGCCAAGAGTTCCATGTTAGTAAATAACGTTGCTGACTGGTTACTGTAATTATAAAATGTACCTAATATAAACCTAAAAGACAATAGGAATAGGATTTCAAAGCTGGAAAGGATCTTAAGAGATCACCTAGACCAACATTTTGTTTTATTTTATATTTTTTAGGCAATTGGGGTTAAGTGACTTGCCCAGGGTCACACAGCTAGTAAGTGTCAAGTGTTTGGTCAGAGGCAGGATTTGAACTCAGGTGCTGCTGACTTCAGGACCGGTGCTTTATCCACTGTGCCACCTAGCTACCCCTAGCCCAACATTTTATAAATTAGGATAATGGGACCCATGAAGGTTTAAGATCCTCCTAACTGAGGACTTCATATTTATATTTTGTCTTTCTTTTTCTCCCCAGAACTATGCTCAGCACCTGTTGACTAAGACAATATCTACATGTATAGATATAGTCAAAATAGATGTAATAGGGGGTGGGAAGACAGCTCTAGTGACAAGGTATCAGAAAAAGCTTCATGAAGAAGGTGGTGTTTAAGTTGTGCCTTGAACAAAACTAAGGATTTTAAGAGGCAGAGGTGATAAGGGAGTGCATTCCGGTTATAGCAAGTGCCCTGGGACTACCATCCCAAATCCTCATTCATATGAGGGGATTGGGGCCTATACTTGTCCTCTCAGGGTTCTAGGGGACCCTGGGTGACTGGGAAGAGTGATGGTCTGGTACTGTAGGTCATGAACCCCCATCAGCGTGCTTTATGTCCCATTGAATAATAATTTATATTACTTAGACAGGCCAACTTAATTAGCTTTTAGAGAAGAATATTTACTCAGATGGTATAGTAAGAACAATTGGTACATCTGTGATAAACTTTTCAACAAGTACATACAGAATCCAGGGGAAAGTGAGCGCAAGCTTTGAATATATAATGTGGCAAATGATAACACAGCTTCTGATTGCTAGAAGTCTTTTTCCCCTCATGGGGGCCTCATGAAATTATCCTTAGTCATGATATACCTGTCTTCTGGGATCCTCATAGAGATCTGAAGATGCCTTTCCTCTATGGATCTAGTTTGTCCTCACCTGCAGATGCAGAGACTACTATCAGCTGTTCTGGGAATGCTGCTAGAATGTCCCTGGGAAGTCCGAATCCTCCAACATCTCGAAGTTTACAAGGTACTGTGATTAAGGAGGGGAGAAGAGACATAGGCTCTTATTTCTTCTTCTTCCTCCAAGGAAATCTCTCTCAGAGTCTTCGATAAAATTGTTGTCTTTTCTAGGCAGCCAGGTACCTGAATTCTCTGTTCTGAAATAACTTGTCTTTTCCCACAAAAGCCACAAGATGAAACTGCCTATCTTCAGCTAATGCCAATATATTTCCTATGCAGTAGCACTTCATTTCATCTAATAGCTTTTGCTTTTTCCAAACTGATCAAAGACTTCTTGGAGCATGTCTGCCCTTGATTGAATGAACAAAGGTTATCTCATCTGACAAAGGTATCTATCATCTTGTTAGTTACTTCATATTTGGTGGTGTGGGAGATTGTTTCATTTAAAAGTCCAGGCCCAATTATTGAGGTAGGGGCATAGAACACCACTCTTACCTATTGGGCATGGACATGGTGTGGGTCTTGGGGGGGGGGAGGAAGAGGGACAGCCAATGTAATCATGCAGAGGTAAAAGATGGGGTACCTTTAAATGAGGAACAGTAAGAAGTTTGGCTGACCTGTAGTAAATATTGATTGTCACATTTTGTCATAGTTACTGGCAAAATGAGTACTAGGACTCAGGTTTCTAAACTCTCAGTCTTAACAAAAATACACAGGTTTATAGCCCCACACTTCAATACTTCAAAGATATTTTATTTCATAGGTTTCTATATTGCCTTCACAATTCTTCTACTCCTTTGTAGATAGTGTTGTAGAGCTCTATAGTGCTTCAAGGTTTGCAAAATGCTTCACATACATTATCTCATTTAAGCCCCATAACAACCCTGTGAGGTGGATAACTTAAGGTATTATTATGCCCAGTTTATTGACGAGGAAATTGAGGTTCAGGTGGTTACATGATTTTTCAAAGGCCAAATGACCTATACTGGCAGGACTGGAACCCTGGATTCTGACTCCAAGCATAATTGTCTACAACAACACCACACTTGAGTCTGTTTTTTGTCCTATGATTCCGCCATATCATAATCACACATGTAATTAAAAAAAAATTCTTTGGAAGAAAACAATTTGCTTTGTCCTATAAAAATCAAGCTCATGAATAACATACAAAATTGAGGGGCCAACTTATTTCCTGCTGTTTACGTTCCTCATTGGCCATACAATGGTGGATCTTAGTTTCAAGGATTAAGAACCATGAGCTTTGGGTTGTTCTGCTTAGTCAAAATTACCAATAAAGTGGCTATAATAAGAAAGAAAAAGAAAGAAAGAAAGAAAGAAAGAAAGAAAGAAAGAAAGAAAGAAAGAAAGAAAGAAAGAAAAAGAAAGAAAGAAAGAAAGAAAGAAAGAAAGAGAGAGAGAGAGAAAGAGAGAAAGAAAGAAAGAAAGAAAGAGGAAGAAAGAGAGAGAAAGAAAGAAGAAAGAAAGAAAGAAAGAAAGAAAGAAAGAAAGAGAAGGAAGGAAGGAAGAAAAAGAAAAACAGATCTCAGTCCTTGTTCTACCAACTGCTGCTCTAAATCCAAGTTTATAATTTATCTATCTCATATCTTCATTTCTGTAAAAATGCAGATGATGATAATTACCATTAATTAGCTATCATTTTACATAACTGCTTTATAAGATGTTCAGGTGTTTCTTATATACCTATTTTCAAAGATACCTTTGATTTCATTGATATACCTAGGTCTCAATTAGTGTGAATAATGAATCTTCTGAAGAGGTCCCATGTAACTGAATTTCCAATATTCAAAGTTATAATTATGTAAAATAGGGTAATTGGTTTCAGCCCAGTGGAAATAAACATGCAGTATAAATATGAATAATGTGAACACTTTAGGAGAATTCACCATTTGAACTAACTGGAACTAAACTGTAAAGTTAATCTACAAAAATTACTATAAGAAAATTATAATTATTTCTATGGTGCCCTAAGAGCTCTAAAAAAGTAAAATATTTTAATTCAGATTTCATACCAAAACCATCTCTATAAACATGGGCATATTTAGTGGCAGTAATTCTAAATCATAACCCAATTTGTGGCCTAAGAGCCAATTTAGCTGACTTATCACTTAAAATCATAATAATATATTTAACCAGAATAAGTAGGAAAAATAGTGATCTAACAAGTTGCCACTATGACTCTACCTATGTCCTTGAACAGGTCACTTTCATATTCAGTTTCAGTCTTCTCATCTGTGAAAGGGGGATCCTGGACTATGTAATTTCTGAGGCCTCTTCTAGTTTTAGTACTATGTGACTTTTATGTAATATCTTCTTTTAAATAAATAGGGAAAATAAAGTATTAATCTGTGGCAAAAACAAAGATATGGTGATTGATGTTAACATTCATATTAATGGCACAAGGGATAACTGTTTTAAAGAAAGAAGATTCATCAAGTATTTAATTAATGATGCATAGATTATCTATT